AGATGCTTTAGGGGATGGTTTTTCCTGCCGCGTGTTGCCCTCCCGTCCCCGGTGCGTTTATTTCCGGAGCAGCTTGTTCGCCGCGGTCACTTCGCTGTCCCCCAGCCCTGCCCGCTCCCCGCGCTCCCCCTCAGCCGTTTTCCCGCCCTGCCCTGGCGCCGCGCGGGCAGCGGTAACGGCCGCCAGGGGGCGGTGGCGGGGCCGCCATGTCGGACTCGGCCTGAGGGAAGCGGCCGCGCTGCCGTCGGTCGGTGACGTGGGGCAATGCGAGGTAAGTGGGAAACCCGGTCGAAAAAGGAGAAATTCCCCCGTGCTCGTACACGCGAACCAAGCTGTTCGCTTTAATAATTCTGTATTTGAAATTTATTTAACCTTTTCTTCAAACTCTAAAAGTTGCAGAGCCCTCCCTAGCTGAAAATTGCCTGTACAGTTTGCCTGTACTATATTCAGTAAAATAGCCTTGAGAGCACGGCTGTTCAGATGGACACAGGCAGGCTTCTAACAGTGATACAGAGACAAAAAGCAAGATTTTCTTGTGGAAAAACATCCATATCCACTGCCAGATGTAATAGTTAATCCCCACAGTGAAAATAAACAGATTAATGTACTCTGGAGGAGGGGGGGACGATGACCCTCCCTACTCCTTCTCACCCCAACAAACAAATAAAACTCAAACCCCCAAAAAAACAAACCAACCAACAACCACTTTTGAAAAAAAAAAAAAAAAGAAGAAAAATGTAAATTTGAAATTGTTTAAAAGTCTCACAGTAAAAGAGTAAGAACAAAGCATGAAACTAAAATTCTTCCATTTTCAATGCTCATGATGCTGATTTTCAGGCAGAGCACCTTTGTAGGCCATGGTTCACCAAACTGCCCAAAATGGGTCATTTTACAAGTCCAGCATAAGGAAAAAGAAAAGTTGCCCAAGACTCCTGACAGGAAATGAAAAGAGAAGCAATGTAGAGAAATGTACATTGCCATGCCACCAGCATCTGGGTCAAATACTAATAAATATGCTATTTAGGAAGGAAAACTAAACTACTTTATCCTCAAATCTAGTTTGAAGAAATCTAGTAATGTAGTGAAGAAAAATCATGGAAAGTATGCTGAACCACCTTTTTCAACATCACATGCTGCAGGCTCCAAGGATTCAAAATCATGTGTTCTCCCATGATAAGGTAAACTTGAAGCAGAAAGTGGAGCAGAAAAAAGAGCATGACAGCCAGCCAAATATATAATTCCACAAGTGTGTGATGGCTCCATCAGCTACTGTAGAACAACAGCCACCTCAAACCAAGAAAGCATTTTAAGAAAACTAATCTATAACTGACTTGCCAGATTTCACATGGGCAAAAGGAAATCTGCCTGTAAGAATATTTTTCTTTTGACTGCATGAAATGTGAGAATTAGAACGATAATTGATACTGAGTGTAGAATAAGCAAACTTTGAAAATAAAATGTAGTAGATAAACTCAGCATTGATACTCTTGACCCATATGTCATGTAAATTTTGACAAAACAGAGGAAAACCTCTGCAACCTTCCAGCAATCCATTCTCCTCCATTGCAGATGGATTTCATGAGAGGACAAGTGAATTCCATGAATCTGAGTGTGTAGGTAAATTCAGTAATAATGGTGTATTCTATAATAATATTGAAAAATAAAACCACCATTTGATTGCAACTAAATTCATATGGGCTTTTGGGGCATTTTCCAGAAGTTTCTGGGAGTTTCAGATAAGAAACATACATATATGTAACTCATTTATAGAGTAGAACCAGGTTTTTTTCATCTGGGAACTATGGAGGCTTCCACAGGCACCTGTTTAAACCTAATGTTCTTTCCTTCATCCTATCTCAAGTTCCTGGATGGATTTAATTATGTTAAATACCAAATGTTATTCTGCTACCAGGTTATTAGTAGACCACCTCAATTTTCAGTGGTTTCTTCTTTTCTAAACTCAATTCTTTGCTTGTCTGTTACATCTGATTGATTTATTTCATGGTATGGTTCTTACAGCCCTTTGAGCTCTTTGCTGTAATGTGCACTTTTCTGAATTTTAATAGTTTTTCCTCATTCTTACAGGATAGGGATGGCTATGATTAGGACAAGTCATTACTGCTACCTTAGTTGTTTCAGAGGTTTATTAGACAAGCTAATATACTTCAGGAAAGCTATTTAATAGCATTAAAGGCATGTAAAGTAGGTATGTGAATCACCTACTTTGGTACCTGCCTCTTGTCAAGAGAGGTTCAGAACAGTGGTTTTCAAATGCTTTCCCATATTTTTACCCATCCTCTGGGTTAAAACCAACTTTGATAGCACTTGAAGAGGAGAGGGGTAGGGAAAAGAGAGAGGTGTGGTCAAACTTTGTAATTTAAAAAAAAATTATTTTTTTATTTTCATCAAGTGGAAGAAACTGTTCTCTCTTCAACGGGTATTTGTTGCATTGAGACTTTAAAGTGAGGAATTCATGTATCAGAGGAAGTTGATGCTGAGTAGGTCACATTTTCTTCTGTGTTCATTCAGTCATGCACAAACTGCTGTGGTATCGGTTCAAGACAGTGAGACACTCAACAGCATTTAGCATTATATCCAGGAAAATGTTAATTAACAGAAGTTTTCTTTTATACAGGTATTTATTATTATACAGTGCTAAATGCTAGCATAATGAAAGGTGGCTGCAAAAAAACCACTTGTGTTGTTTTCACAAATATTTCAAAAGTAACCAGATTAGAGAGATTTCTGTTTCATTGGCCATAAGATTTTGCAAATGTATTGGTTTTATAAGCACCTTTGAAAATATATCACATGGGGCCTAAATGCAAGATACTTTGAAATTTCAAGCCCAAGTTTAATTTTAATTCACATGCTGATAACACACATCATTGTGTGTTATACAATATACTGATATGAGCAAGAGTAAACAAGTGTTCTGAAAAAAACCACAACGCACCAAAAAATTATTGTGCTTAAAACTGTCAGCTTGGAATATAAAGTCTCTGCAACTTGAATCTTAACAATGCAGATCATCATTTTTGAAAACTCAGATCTTGAAAACTTAACTGTATGCAAAAACTTCAGATTTTCAGAACAATTGTTTCAGTGGCAGGTAGTTGAAACCTTAAAAATATGATTATACATCTTCCTTCCTAGCTAATATTTATTTTGCATTATTCCTTAAGAGAAAGCATCACAGTTAATGAGCAAAATGATATCAAACCTTTCAGTAAATATAATCTATGGAGTATTTTCAAATATTTCTGGTTATTTTAAGAAGTCACAGTGCCTCTTAATTGCTTTTGTTTGAAGAGACACAGTTGTTGAGTGGCAGTAGTTCTAAGAGTAAAGACTTGTGGGCTTTTAACTTAAAAAATTTTGGTTTGATTTTCTTAATGTCAGTACAGAAATTGGAACAGTGTTTAGAAATGTTTTTAATTTTTTTCCACAGAGAGGGCAGCAAGGTAACTCCACTGGAACACACAGTGGTTTGAAAAACTTTGTACTGACATTGTTATTGGTACCCAAGTTCATTTTTATAGAGTCCACGACACTTGTTGCAAGAGAAGAAGCTTGAAAATATTAGCAGTTAAGCTGCCTGAAATTTTCTACATGTTTTAATAGTAGTAATATTTATTCAGAGGTTTGTATTTAACATATGTAGAACTTGATGTGTGTTCTCACTTATTTTACTTGCTTTTTACATGTACTATGTTAGTCAAAAGTTACTTGCAGATGCTATCTAAAGTATTCAACTTGCAAACAGTCCAAATCTGTAATGGTTAAGAATTAAGAATATGGGGTTCACAGGAAATACTATCTTCTCCAAGAGCACACAATTAAGTTATTAATATTTTAAAATCAGAATAATTTTCTGGTTTTGACAACTATTTCCTTACCTAATGATTGAAGTAGATTTTTTTTTTCCCTGTAGTAACAAGAAGCTGTTAGTATGGCTGGACTATGGTGAAAACAGAAGTCTAAGAATTGCAAATATAAATGGAGGCAGATAGGGTAAGTTTATTTATAGGTCTTTAATCTCAAGTTTCACACGTTAAGTTTAGGAATATAGAGCTCTCTTCACAGCATAATGAGTAGGATCAAGTTTTTTGCTGATACTTTTATGTGGTCATGTAGAATTGTATGTGTCTCTCAGGTTTGTATGTGAATCATTTGGTCTTCAAGGCCTTGTAGCAAAGCTGCTGGCAATACAGCAGTATTCTTAAGGTTGGCTACAGGTCTGCTCAGCTATGGAAGGCTTGAAGACTCATGTGGAATGTTATGTTGAAAATTTAAAATATATCCATCCAATATCTATTTATACTTTTTTACCATCATAATGCTTCCATCAGCAAAGTATTAGTGCCTTTGGGACACAACTTTTGCTACAACACTATGAGAATATCCAGGTTTTTAAAAGAAAAAGCTGCTTTTGTTCAGTTTGAGTTGCCTGGTACAGTATGAGAGGTGAGAATTTACTGAATTGTAGGGAGAAGACAGCTTTTCATCTGACTTAGAACAGGTAAATTCACTAGGATCTTAGAATGGCCGAATTGATCCATGGGAATTTAACTGTGCCTTGCAGAAGGAGCTTGTTTGCCAGCAGCAGTGCCAGGGAAGCTTAATGCATGTTGCCTTTTTCTTCTAAGAAAACAGTATTAGGTTCTGGTAAATTCTGGTGGTGAACAGGAATAGAGTATAAATAAAAATATGTACAGTAACTTTAGATTGTTTAATATGACTCTTCAAAATTAACCCGTACCTGCTAGAACTTGAGACTTACTTTGCATAGACATCCTCAGATTAACTGCTGAAATGACACAACAATAAACAGAGGTGCAAAAGCCCAGATCTGTACCAAGAACGTGAACAGATGCAAGAGCAGGGGTCCCACTTCCAAGCAGCTTAACTTCTTTGGGAAACACACAGTATTAAAACTTCATGAAAAATGATGCATATCTAACTTTTGGTAAATGACAGCATGTCAAGTGAGAAAAATGTCTTTTGAGAGAGAAACATTTATTTACATAAGCAAGTAATCTGTGCAGTTTCACATTTCAACTTAAGGATTTCTCCTTACTAAAATGATTTGGGTCATAATGAAAAGACAAAAAGATGTTTAGGTAAGATCACAGCCAAACCCCAGGCCTGAATTCAGAAAGGCATGTGGACTGCAGCACTATGAGCTGATAATACAGTACAGAGTAAGATTACAGCAGAGACTCTCTCCTTAAGGAAGGCTTTGAAAGAGAGAGGTGAGCACTCAGCCATTCTTTATACACCTTACAGTTTTCCTTACAGTCAGAGAGTGAGGCACGCTACATTTTGTGATGCCAAGAGGAAGGTAATGAATTACAGCCACTTCATGGCATTTCAAGTATATTTGGTCTAACTGTATTTTAATCATATAAAAGCAGCAAATACAAATCACATTTTCCTTCTCTGAAACACTGGAGAGGTATCATTGGTATTTATTTAGAATTCCCAGTCTGTATCATCTTGATTTGTAGCGATACGTCCAAGTTCAGTCCCAACTGCTGTTGAGGGCAGTGCCAAGAACTCTGATCTGTTATTTTGAATAGGAGGTGGTAATAGGGACAGTAGTGAATTCTGTGTTTGTTCCTTTATCTAGAAAGAAAAAAAATTAAAATAAAGTTGCACATAAAAGTCTCCATAACTTTGCAACTGACTTCATTAAAAGCATGTGAAATCAGAGCCACATTCTTGCCTGTTACAGTACTGAAAGTTAAAAGGATGAGAGGTTTTGCTTTCACCACTCTGTTAGTCTTTCAAGACTAATCAAGTCAAGCTAATGAAATCAGCTGTGCAGTTCAGCTTTAAATTAAGAATATTAATAATTTTTAAAAATTAGTTAGTCTGCCTCTTTAGTTAAGTTAAATCAACTTAATCAATGGGGAAATTGATTAATCTTATGCTTCCTCTACTCTATTGATATAATTTTGTTAAAAAAAAAAAATTGGAAGCAGGTATGCTCTTACAGTATGCTTTTTGGCTCCAGGTAACTTCATTAGTTTGTAATCTAGCTCTTTTTATGGCTTATTTAGGTTACAGCTGTGTCATTTAATGAAATATAGTAAACTCACCTGTTTGAAGAACGTATGCGAAAGCAAACTGCTTGCTGATGGCCTGAATCATAAAATGAACAATATAATTATGTTCTGGAAAGTAAAATACTGCATTTGGATAATGGGCCACATTGAAAAATAAATTTAAGCCCTGTGGTTTTTCCTCCACAGGACAAATGTGAAGAATGAGAAAAGCAGCACAAAATTCTTACATTCTATACCTCAATTTGTAGTGAAAGCACTACTGAAGAAATCCATTTTTAAAGGCCTTTTAATGTTTCTGCTTAACAAGAAATTTAATGCCTCATTGAAAAGAGACACAGAACTGAAAACATAGATTTCAGATTTCTGGGGTTTTTTTTCTTGGACAAAGTACACGTTTGAAAGTCAATTTTACTTGCTACAAAGAATAGTTATATTACAAGAAAATCAGGGGTCAAATTACTTTAAAAGTTTGATTCCTTTATCAGACAAGACAATTCTTAAAATACAAATGTAAGTGTACTATATTGTGTTACATTGTACATCTGCTTCAAAATTCTGACTCTAACACCATTCAACTGATTACTGTATTCTAAGCTGTGGGCTATACTTGGTCTTAGGTGGAAGTGACAAAAAAATTAGTTTTCACCAGAACATTACCTTTTCTCAGGGTCCTGTTGCAAGCAAAGTTCTACCAAGTTGTGGAAAGCAGGTGAAAATGTTTTTGAAAAGGGCATTTGAAGTCTTTCACTGGTCATTGTGCGTGTCATGCTCTCACCAATTCCAGAATCAACACCTGATCGGGAATTCTTCATCCTGGATTCCCCCCGGGGAAAGGTATTTATATCCCAATGACAGGAGGTGGGACCTTTCAGCTTTTGCAGCAGCATCTAGTAGGAAGGAATAGCAGTAGGGCAGTTCAACAGCTATCCAGACCTATTCATGGTAAACTATGAAACTCCAGGGATGGAAGGAGTATTTATTCTAGAAAGAGGCGTGCATATTTGAAATAACAAAAAACAGCCACTACTTCAGCAGTAATAGCACTGGTTTCTGTGAGTAAAACAAAAAAAATGCTCAGCATGTTTTTAACTAGAGATAAAGTTTAGCATTATACCTGAGTGCGAGGCATATCTTGAAATGGAACATGTCCATTGGCTAATTCACATGCTGTAATTCCCACACTGTATATGTCAGACTTCATGTTATAGCCAGACAAATCCTGTGAGAGAAGGAAGCCACTACTGATCACTGAGGCCACTGAGTGGTGTCAACAGGAATACAAGTGCCTGCTTCAAAACAAGATTCTAATACCCCATAATCTGCACAGTATTGAAGCAGTTGAATTGTGAAACCTCAGACTTTCTTCAGAAATCTGATGGCTGTACTGAACACAAGTTTCAGGATTTGCAGTAGTTTCCAGGAGGTCTAGGTAAATCTTTTAAATAAAGATTTAGTACAGCATCACCTCACCAACAGCTTTAGAACTGGTTCTCTCTAAAAGGACTAAAAATTCAGTTTGTACATGTATTTTTAAAAGTTGCTGTTCAACATATTTCATTGCAACTCTACAAGCAGACTTAAGTTGGAAATTGAGAACTGCCACTAACTTTGAATTGGAAAAATTATATGTAATTTATACTAACCTGTCTCAGTAGTTCAGGACTCAGCCAAGGAAGCACAGATGTACTAAATGGGGGGAAATCATACACCACCTTTGCCTTCTGTCCATTGCTAACTAAACTGTAGAGGTTGTTTAGGCCAGAGAGAGAAACCAGCCCATCCTCTGAAATCAGAATGTGGCTAGCTTTAATATTCCTGTAACATAAAGTGGTAAATTTTAGTTATAAGAATTACTCTAAGTACTACTAGAACAGAACAGCTTTCATATTTCATTGATTTATAGTGAGATGTTAGCATGGAGTTCATCTCTCTATTAAGAGAGATGATCAGGAAAAAAGTGCCAGAAATTGGAGAAGGGCCCTTCTTCCCTGCAAGGGGTGTAAACTAAGGAAGTCCTTTGTATAACTCTGGTTTTCTTCTGCTTCAAAGAGACAAAGCCAGGCAGATGTATAATCCCTGTAACAAGTGGCTTGAAATGTATAAATACATTTCCTGTTAAAATGAATCCTGCTGTATTATTGAAAAAAAAAATATTTGTGCACTGTCTGATACAAGAAGGTATAGAGGAAAAGGAAGGAAACAATACTTAAGGTAAGATGCAGGTTCTAGTCCTTATCTATTCACGTTCTCTTACCTGTGAATATATCCATTCTGGTGCATGTAATTTAATCCTCTGATTGCACCAAACAGAATGTTCCCTATCAAAGCTTCACTCATTCCTTCAGGAAAGTAAGTCTTCAGCAGGTGTCTGGCTGAACCTGGAAGTGAAAAAAAACGTAGCTAGGCCTAACAGGTCTTATTAAATGACTTGTCTATGTTTCCTTCACTGTATACACTCATCAAGAGCAGCAATCTATATGGATTCTGGTGCATTATTACATGGATGTAACTGATGCCCCATGTCCTGCTTCTCTTAACTGGAAGTCTGAATACATGAATACATTTGTATTCAATGTAAATAGGTCTTCTGTTAGCAGAAGCTGTATAAAGTCAAATGCATCTCCCAGTCACCATTCCTCACATGGTGGGTGCTAGGACTAAGTGGAATTTAATGCAGTTCAAATACCAGTTTTCAATGGGGAGGAAATCTTCCCTAAATGGTTTGGGAGAGATTGGTTTTTTCCTACAAGATGGGAGATGATTAAAGAAAAACCTCTCATGGACCACGTGGTCGAACTTGTATCAGCCCTTTCTCCTATTCCAAAATTGCAGTTAACAGTTCTTACCATAGGCCATGAATGGGGAGATGACCCAAAGCCAGCTTCCAGCTGTAAACACTGTCCAAAATGTCATTATGTTGGGATGCTGGAAAAAGTGTGATAAAACCACCTCATTCTATGGAATTAAATGAAAGTGGATGTGTTAACCACAGAACAGCAGTCCTACCAATAGCATTAACTACATTCAGTAATCAGTAAAGAGAACAGTTTATCTGCATTTATACAAGATTGCAGGTGATGTGCATAGCCTGCAACAGAAATGTAAATAGCTTGCCCATAATTGCATTTGTCTGAAGTAAATCTAGTTTGTTCATAGTCCAAACTTCTGGTGTTAAATAAGAGTATAGAAGATGTTACTCAAGTAAGTTGTACAATTACAGAAGCAATTTCTAAAGCAATTGTCAGCTGTGGCCTTCAGAAAGCAACTCTCAAATTTACACATGCATTCTGTTTATTATATTCTACTCCTTTGGAGGGAAAAATTTGACTGAAATGTCCCAGTTCAAACAAAGGCTACCTTTGTTCAGTAATCTCATATGTATTCCTCACTATCTTCATCGGGCTTTGTGTAGAAATGCTGTTCCTTTACCTGTAAGGCTTTCAAGTGCTCTTCAGAGCAATTTTCAAGGTCTGTGATCCTTACAGCAACTTGCCTGTCTGTAGGTGTATGCCGTGCAAGGTAGACTGAAGTTAAATTGTTGAACCTCCTTCCTGAAACCAGAAATGGCTACCTTAACATTGGAAAGCATAATAAGCCATCACATGGTTTCCTTCATATTTAGAGATCATTTTCCAGTTTTAGAATTGCAATTGATAGCAGTGTGTCCTTTTGTTTCAGAATGCCAAGACCTTATATAATTGTAGACAAATATATGCAGCAAATTAATTGAAGCATGGCTCTGCTATTTTGAGAACAACTAAAAGTGTTTGAACATACGTCAGCATCATTATACATCTAAATGAACACTTAGTATGCATATTCACATAAACATATGCATGCATGGGAGGATCTAAGGCAGCCATCCTTAGAACAACCAACTTGGGTAGCCAAGTTACAAGACATGATGTTACTTAAGGCTGTATTTATTGTCACATACCATAGATTTTGAAAACTGACAAGTACATGCACAAACATCAAGAGACAATTTCAGGTAATTTGTCTTAGATCTCGAAATAAGAGATTACTAAAATATGAGCAATGCTCTGAACTTTTCTCAATTAAGGAGACACAGGAACAGTCCTTCACTTTCCAAACATAATATTTACTGCAATTAGCAATAAACTATTGATAGCAGGAAGAAGAAATATTTTAAGGTCCATTTATGTTACCTATTTCCAGCTGGAGTTCATAATGAGAGACATTAGAAGAGCAAAATACCATTTCATTCTTTCCTGTAGATGGGGGAATCCAGGCTAGATCAGAATCCGCCTAACAGAGAGAATAAACAGTTCTCAAAATAACTATGTAATTTAAAATAATTTATATTTTTTAAATTATTGCAAAAATATTATTAATGCTAAAGTCCAGTACTCAAATAAGAATATTCAAGCTAGTACTTTTACCATTATTAAGACTTAGTCTTATGACAAGTTTTGTGTGTATGTGTTTGTTTTTGAACTGGCAGAAGATTAACACTTAGATACCTATAGTCTTCTACCAAAGTGGAAGCCTCAGTAGTGCTCTGTTTATTTTTATTGTCAACATTTCAAGAAGTACTCCCTAATTAGGCTCTTTTTAATATGCACCAGCTTTATATTTAACCTTGGGAGTTAAAGTTTCTGTTCTTACCAGGCATTCATGGATGCTGCTCTGAGATAGCTCTTCTGGTCTGATTGATTCAACTGGTGTACGCAGAATACAGGAGCAGTCCTTAAGAACAGAAGAAAGTAAATATTGGAAGAGTTGCTGCAATTTATTAAATATGGCAGTGCAAAAATATAAAAAAGTAGGCCTTATAAGCAACAGTTCAGAAAGTCTTCTGCTACAGGTCAACCAATGAGGGGTTAAGAAACAGCATAAAGTGCACAATGGCAGACCTAGAGAGAAGAGACACTAAAGCCTCCTTCATCAAAAGCTGACACAATGAAGTTCAAACATGTCAGCACTGTGGAAACCCCTGCAAGCAAGATGTCTCACCAGGGCTTTTCATGTTAAGGTATAGCTGGGTAACAAGGTATAACAGCCAAAATTTTTAAAGATGAACTTACCAAACAAGACATGGAACCGCTTTAGAGCAAGGGAAAAGTCATACACACCCATTTATCCTAGAAAAAAAATAAGGTAGCAAAGTAAAATGATACATAAACCTGTGATAAACTTAAATCTCCTTAACCAGAACTGTGAGGCATTCCTGTCAGCTATCACACACAAAACCCCAGAACTCCAGCTCAGCAAAAGTCTGCTTCTATTTAAGTAGCATATCAATTTCAAACTCCACACTGAGGACGACATGTCAACTCAAGTGTTCCTTTTTAATTTATGGGTTTAGAAATTTTATTGCCCGTTCTGAACAATTTAACTGCACAAGTGCAGAAAGTAAAAAAGAACAGACTCATGAATCTTTGGCAGTTTGTAGGAAAAGAAATCATTGTCTGTTGTTTTAAAGGAGCACAGCTGTGCTAGGCAGATCTTGGCTTGGCTGTGTGCAGCTGAACTAGCTCACAAAAAAAAAGCAAGGCAGAAGCAATTGCACTTTACATTTCACAAGTGAGGGAGGAAATAGTATTGTAAGGGATTTCAGTTAAAAAAAACAGAGAAGCAATTCCCTCACAGATCAGAGTAGCCTCTGAAAGTCCTCTAGCAAACTTACTTTATGTCTGATGTTCTGGAAGCTTAGGCAGTGGAAGAGATGTCTAAAAAGCATATCAAAGCTTCTCTAAGTACAGAATGGGACTGTTTTACCTTAGCTATAAGCAAGTCTTCAACAGTAAAATCTTTAAGGTTGGAAAAGACCTCACAGATCACAGAGTCCAACCATTAACCTAACACTTCTGGGCCTGCCATTAAACCATGTCCCTTTGCACCACATCTACATGATTTTTGATCACTACCAAGGACAGTGACTGCACCACTTCTCTGGACAGCCTGTTCCAATGCTTGACAAACTTTCAGTGAAGAAAATTTCCCTAACATCCAATCTAAACCTCCCTTGGTGCAACTTGAGGCCTGTTACTGTCATCCTTTCTTTTGTTACGTGAGAGAAGAGGCAAACTCCCACCTGATTATAATCTCCTTTCAGGTAAATGTAGTGTAAGAAGGTCCTCCTGAGCCTCCTCTTCTCCAGGCTAAACTCCTTCAGCCACTCCTTGTAATACTTGTGCTCCAGACCTTTCACCAGCTCTGCTGCCCTTCTCTGAACACGATTCAGTGCCTCAATGTCTTTCTTCTTGCAAGGGGCTCAAAACTGAATGCAGAACTTGAGATGCAAACTGGCCTCACCAGTGAGTACAGAGGGACAATTACTTCCCAGGTCCTGTTGGCCACACTACTGCTGATACAAACCAGGATGCCACTGGCCTTGGCCACCTGGGCACACTGCTGGCTCATGTTCAGCCAGCAGCCAAACAACAGCCCCAGGTCCTTTTCTGATAGGCAGCTTTCCAGCCACCATGAGGAATCCTACTTGGTGGCTGACAAAAAGTCAGGTACAGGTAATAGTTCCATGTTAATATGCAATTTTTGTATGAAAGTTAACTTATAAAACCTGAAGTACTATAACAGAAACTGATAATTTTATTAAGGATATAAGCTTGAGTATATCCTGCATTTAAATTATGTATGCTATTAATCAAGGGAATACTCTTCAAAAGCTAACAAGCCCCCACCACTCCATTCATTGCCAAATATCCAAGCCATTCTAGTAAAATTTTTACCCTGAAGATCTGCTGTAATTCCTTATTAGATACCAAATGGATACAAAAGTCAATCCCTACCAGGTACTAGGCACTTTCAGAGGATCTGTGCTTGACTTAAACATCTTCACTTCACTAAGGAAGTTTGTAGCAAAGTAGGAAGAAAAAAAAAAAAAGAATACAGGTGCTTCAGGATACTGCCTAGCACTGTAATTAATGGCTACAGCATCCTTCTCCTACTTGGAAAGAAGGTGCCTCATTCTGCTACACAAGACAATTTATTCTTCTGCTTGCAATATGAAACCAGAAAAGCTAAGCTGAAGAATCAACTCTTAATAACTATGATATACCAAAGTCAAATTATTGTAGATTTACTTCAAAGATGTATAGCCAGCCAACAGAAACATCCATAATGCACATTTATTCAAATAACACTACAATTTTAAGATTTTGTTTTTCTTATGTAGCTTGACACAGTTTCCATTTTTCAGTATGGCTGTGGATCATGTCCCCATATAAACTTTTTCCCTGTCCCCACATTTTTCCTTCTGTGTCGCAGGATTTTTTTTTTTTTTTTTTTTTTTTTTTTTTGTACTGTAGATAGTGACAGTGTTGTACAGGTAAAATGAAACATTCATCGCACTTTGGCCAAAGCTTCAGCCAGCGAACACTGCAGGGCAGGAAAAACCTACAGAAACCTGTGTCTGTGAGCGAGGGGAGTGTGAAGGCTCCGGAGCCCCGGTACCGGGATCGCGCGTTACTGGGCTCTGCTGACGCTGAGCTGCAGCTCCTACTTCAGCGTTCGCAGTGACTGAGGCAGCTCTCCGTCGTGTATCTCGAGTGAAATGATCCGTCCTCGACAAAGCACCGGAAAGTGCGGAAGGACGACCCGCCGGCTCCCCCTCAGCTCCTCACTCGCTCCGTTAAGTTCGTACCTCGCCTTCCTCGCTGGGCCCCCGTCTCCCTCTGGCCTCCCGCGGCGGCCGGGATAGAGCTCCGCTCCCCGCAGCCGCCTCCCGAGCTCGGTGGGCGCCGCTCCCTCTCCCCGGCTCGTCCGGCTGCTCAGCGGGGCAAGAGGGCGCGGCCAGCGCGGAGCCTCGGCGCAGCCGAGCAGCCTTACAGGGCGGCAGCGCCCGTTCCTGCCCGCCGCCGCCGGAGTCAGGGCCGGGGGCCGACACCGCCGCCGCGCCTCCCGCCAGAACCCCGCCCCGCTCCCGGCCCCGCCGGGCTCAGCGGCGGCGGCCGCCCGCACCACGCGACCCGGCGCATTGTGGGGCTCGTCACTGGCAGCGGCCCGCCGGGGGCTGTAGTTCTGGGCGGGAGCCGAGCGGAAGCCATCGGAGCTCTTCCTCAGTCGCCGTCGTGTTGCATGCGGGGCTGCGACGGGAAGGAGCGGCGCCGGAGGGAGCGCAGCGTGGGCCGGGTAAGCGAGCACTCGACGCCGGGCCGGCGCTGCTCTGCCGCCTCACGGGCGAGCGGCGCGCTCCGTGCCTCACACCCCTGAGGGTTAACCCTCCCTCCTCTCGTCCCTGGGGCTGTTCCCCGCCGGGCCGCGGCACCACCCGGGCTAGAAGGTACAGCGGGCCGCGTAGGGCGTGCGGCGGTTTTCCTGCGGCTGATTGGGGTCGGAGTGCGGGGACCGAGCGTGAGGCGGTGTCCGGGGCTGGCCCCGCGGTCCCGGGCGGAGAAGGAATTCCGGCGCTTGTCCGGGTTGGCAGCTGACAGGACGCTTTTAGAGGTGGTGATGCTTTAATGTAACGTAGCGCTGTGTTGAGCTCCGTCTGTTCCGTGTAAGCGGGGGCTGCGGGTCCGGCGGTGCCCGCAGGCGGTGCCGGGGTGACCTTCAGCGGCCCGGGGTGCCCCTCTCCGAGCGGGTCCCTGGAGGGTCATGTCACCGCGAGCACGGGACAGCCCTCGGTGATATCAGCTTTGCCTTGCTTGTGTATAGAAGGCAAGGAAATTTTGGCTGCTAGCGACTTCTTAATCACATGGTTACTTTTTGATCAGCTGGTTAATTCCAATTTTAGCTGATTATTGGAGTACCAGTATCTGTCAGTGTCATTTTCTCTGTCGCCCATACTAGTGGAGAAACGTATGTGGAGTGGCGTGCTCGTATTTTTATCCTTAATGTACTCTTCAGCTGTTGCATAGGTGCCTATTTATTAGTTATGTTTCACAGTTGCTGTTGACTGATTATGACAATTTGATGCAGATATTTGATATACTAATAAATAAGGCAACATTAGAAAGCAACAGTCGATTTTAGGTTTGTTTTTGCATACTTGAGTTCTTTCAAAAGATGCAGCTTTTAGGAAAAATAGGCAGAACTTCTTTTTAATTACACTTCTGACACTGAAGCGAAATTGAAAAAAATATTTTTCAATATCTGAATTTTTTCCACTCTAGTGGCAGTGTGATTATTAGAGCTGTATATGTTTATCAAATTTCTGCTATGAGTATCTGAAAATGTAGTTTGAAGAGCACTGGAAAACCACAGACTTCCCTGTTGTTGGTTTGCCTCTAATACTGGGCTTCTGAAATTAATATTGTGTGGTAGAAGTGCTGTCTTTCAGGAATGATAATTGTGATTTATTGATTAGTTTTCCAAGAAGACACAAATAGAGCATTTTCACAGATATGGCTACAAAAATAAGAAGATATCCTTTTTTCTGGTTTGATTGCTAGGGATATTCTGGTGACTGAGTCATATAAATCAGTTTGGTTAATTCTAATAAACACAATTATATCTTAAAATGCTGAGCTCTGGCTGGGGTGTAGGTCAAGGAACTGAAACAACGTTTTTGGGTGATCAGCCATGCATCAACTGAAGGAGTTAGTGATTTCAGTTAAATGTTATTTAAGTTCCCTTCAAGTATACTTTATACAAAACAAGCTTGAGTTTTAAAAGAAGCTGATTACAACCTTTATAATGAAATATTAACAGAGAACTTAGCAGAATGAGGCATTAGCAGAATGCCTCAAGAGCATTTATTGTATTTTATACTCTAACAAACAAATAGGCAATTCATGATAGTTCTTGATTCCTCTGAGACCATAACATAACTACGTAGATATATAATTTCTTCTGAAAAAAAGAAAATTTGTGAGAAAAGATTTATACGGATAGTAATGTTTTGATTGTGCATTTACATAAAAATATTAGGAATTAATAAAACATAGTGTGTGTCTTTACTGTAGGTAACACTCGTAGTTTCAGGCTAAGGGAGACTTTAATTAGGCATTTGCTGTTTTTACATTGTACTAAGGGTGATATAGACAACCTCCAAATGAGTAGGACTTAAATAAATTTTAGCTATCAAGCTGTGGTATTCAACAGTATGCATGTATACATGCACATAAAGCATATGTGCATGTATTTAACAGGTAGTGTTGCCACTTTGGAGAACTTGAGCTGTTACAAATGACTGACAAAGAGAATAAGTGAGCCTGGTTTGGTGTAACTGTAGATAAAACAGGATGAGGGAATGTTGTGGCCGGCTTTGTGAACCCCATGTGATTCATCATTCTCCAGCTGGAAGTGTTCTCCAGCTTCCCCTCTTCCCCTGAAGCCTTTTCCTCATCCCAGAAGAAAAACAATCCAGGAGATGGGGGTGGGGTTATTTTGTTTGTTTTCTTAATTTCTTCTTACATCATTTTTTTATGATTGAAAGTCTGTTGCAGGATTGTTTATGATTATTACAGTTGGTTTTAGGATTATGTTGCATACTCTTTTAAATATTTTTTTCCTTACATGAGAGCCACACAAGCACTAAATAGATTTCTGTAGGGATAGTATTGGATGAAAATAACAGGTGTTAGGCACACAGCAAATGTTAATTGTGATAGGCAATATTTGTGTTCACATAGATTTGTTTTTCAGTTGATAATCCTTTGTCCTTCACCTCCTACTGGATGGTGTTGAAGAATTTGGCCTCTGCTTCTGAGCACTGGTCCCAGGAATGTTTTGGCAGCAATTCAGTGTGGTCATGTTTGCTATAAGAATAGAACTGTTTCATTAACCTTGAGATGCAGAATATGTTGATTGCTATTAGCTGGCTTGACAGCATTCCAATTTTAGCAATGGAAGAAGTACTGTGTTAATGACTTGATACAATTTTTTAGATTGCATACTTACATTGCACTAAAATTTGGCATCTGAGAATAGTACGCTCATTTATTTGGCTTGGAAAATGAATGTTGTCTTCTCTCTTTGTTGTTAGAATCTTCTTTGTTGTCAAAATTTTGTTTGTGTTACTTGTGGTCTAATGTCTTGCATCCTGGAATTGTACAGAGGAGCAGCCCTACTTTAGTCTTTCCAAGTACTTGTGAGGAGTCAGCTACTCTCAACAAATGAAAAATAGCAGGAATAACAGTTTGTTTATGTTGAAGTTTGGATGTTGTCAATATAGATGCCAGTATTTTGCATATGTTTTTAACTTTGTGCACAAAGGAATAGCACATAGAATTGTCTATGGTTTCCAGTTTTAAAGCACTCCCTCACCTTTCTCATAATTCAGATTTGAATTAGAGTTTCTCTAGTGGTAGAATGTCTTCAGAATTATATTCTGTCTTGAGGGGCCCCAACTCTTTCTGCATCCATCTGAAATTGCTCAAAGTGGTACTTTTACAAAGACAAGAACAATTTTCAATGCTTTATAACTCTACTATCTTTTTCTAAGACTTTAGTCAGTATTGCTTTTTTAAGTTAATCTTCACTATAGTCTTCTGACTCACTGAAGGAAAAATTTATAAAATCTCTTTAGAGCAGCTTGGATTCTCTAGGGCCGATTCAGAAGGTGCAGGAATAGTTTCGATTTCTACAAGAAGTGTGCTATATGTGCCCCAGGTTTTAGCTCACTGTTTGGAGCCAAATGATAGCTGAAATGTGGGACACTCATTGGGGAGTAAAATTTAATCTAGAGAGTACAGAAATACTAAGATTGGGATAGGTATGTGTGTAAAATGTTGTCAGATACTTTCATCTCTCGTGAACTTTTCTTGAAGAAGCCTTCTGAGAGCACTGCCCCTGCATATGAGTTGTTCTCCAATATTTGAATTTCCCTTGTTTTTCCCATTTTCAATTAACCTGTTAGTAAAAGACATGAACATCAATGGGAAATTGGCCTATGAGGGAATTGGGGAACAAAACTGGTAAGATATAGATCAGTGTAGAATGAATATAGTAAATTGACAGTGGAAATAATCTTTATAAATAAAGATTTAAATCAGTACCTGAGAAAGTTTTCTAGCTTCTCTTTTGGACCTGTCTTTCTGCATGATCTAACAATTTTAATTTTTAGTCCATCTTTTTATAGCATGGCCATATATTTTAAAGCCATGTTGTAAATTTTATGGGGTTTATTTAAATGTATTTAGTCATAGTTTTGGCTTGCAGGAGGAATCTGCAGTTAGGAAATAGTTTTATAGCTGCAGTGTAGAAGGGTCATGGAGTCACTTTGAGGGTGGAACTGCCCAGTGCTTGAATTTCTACAGAAGTTGCCCCGTGGTACAGGAAACTAAAGCTATGAGAAGCACTGGAAATGCAAGCATTAACTTTTATGGTGTTTGCTTATCTAGTAAACTTCTCAAAGGTTTTACAAATGAGTTTGCCCTTTCAATTCAATAGCTTGGTGTTGGCCTGGTGCTCTAGAAAACATTTAGCCAAATCACTGGGGTTTTTTCCCCCCCTCTCTCTTTGGCTGAACTGAGATTGGCCCACTACAAATAGTGCTCCTGCTTTGCACTTAGAAGAGAGATTAAAACCAATCTTGAGAAGGAGCAACATTCATTTTTACATTTTTAAAACTCAAAGGGAAAAGATTGAGTTAGAGTTGTAAAGAAGCTGTCCTATGCTGCTGAACTTTTTATCACTGTATAGTGACTCTTCTTATTACAAAATAAAGTCATTTGCATGTGTGGATCTACAGCAGTCTTCTTAAATGTCTTTTACTATGCTATATTAAGTTGTTTTAGAGAAGGGGATATGTATAGTTCATGCTTTTCAGCAATCCATTTAAAAAGCAGCCTCTAGAATTTTTTTTACAAGTGCTAGAAACATCTGTATATTCAGATA